CACCCTACATTGCCGACGTAGATATCGTCCGCTGGAAGCGCAAGTGGGCGGATATAGATCACAAAGACCTTCCCAAGAGTGCTTCACAGGCCTTGGCAGAGTGTGATCGAGACTTTTACCCAAACGTCCACACATTGCTGCGTCTCATGTGCACGTTACCTATTACATCTGCAGAGTGTGAGCGCTCTTTCAGTTCCTTGCGTCGGCTCAAGACGTACCTAAGAGCGACCATGTCTAGTGAGCGGGAGTCTGGACTAGCATTGCTAAACATTCACTACAGCAAGCTCATTGATGTCGAAGAAACAATAGATATCTTTGCAAGAAAACAGCCAATACAAGGCAATACAAGATAAAAAAAAAGTTGTGAAAAGTTTCATTAGTATACTAGCAAAGTACCCGTCCTTCGGACGGTGTGAATTCATGAATAAGTGTATTAGTGTTGTAGCTCACCTAAGAATGAAGGGCTTCTTTGTAAAGTATGTTTTTGGTCTTCGTGTGCTGTGTGTGAATGTACATCGCCATGGGTTTGCCTACGTGTGAGAGGGCAACATAGAGCATGCCATGGAAGAAGACAGGTGTGGTCAGGCGCAAGCCTATGGTAGTGAAAGTCTATGGTAATGGTGCTGACGGGTGCGGGCATATGCTGTGAATGTAGAGATGCATGGTTTAGCTGAGAAGAAGTTCTTTGAAAAAGTAAAATAGAATACAAAAGTTTATTTGATAAGAGTTACAGGGGATGGACACTAAATTACAGAACTTGATGGTATACAACGTTGGTAGTGTAGTAAATAGAGTGTGATTTCCCTTGAGTTTGGTTGTCAGAAGTTTCGAGTTGAAGCTTTACCCCAGCAAAAGATTTAGCACGTGAGAAGTCAACGTAAAGTTGGCGATGAGAGAAAACGGGTTTTGGGAGGAAAATGCCCAGCTTCTTGAAAGTTTGACCTTGCGCTTTATTGATGGTGATGCAGTAAGCCAAGCGAATAGGGAACTGGCGTTGTTGAAGTGTAAATGATAGCTTGGCAGCGGATGGAGCTAATAATATTATTATCCTGGGTATTAATGTTCTTTGTCTACTGCGAGGGTCGGTGAGTATTTCTGCATGAAGTACGTGTGTGTGAAGTCCATGGATTTTGAGTCTAGTACCATTGCAGAGTCATTCTCGAATATTTAGATTTAGTTTTCAGTGATAGTTTCTATGAGTTGTTTGTCAGCAGTTTGGATATGGTTTTCGGGGGTAGTATGTATGTATCCATGTATGCATGCGTGTGTGGTTGGTATTATATATATATACATCTTCCTTTAATTTAGATAATATATTTGGGGAACAACGTTATTATTTCTAAAACTACACGTATACCTGAGCCTAAGTGAGCGCACCTTGTCACTAAAATAAATGAAGGAAATGTACATGCATGCAGCGTCGCGATTACGCAGCCGTTGTATTGATAAAGATGAGGCGCGCGTTGCCGCCGCCGCCGCCCGCCTGCTGGCAACTAGCTGTAGACGCTAGCTAGCGGGAGCTAGCTCTCACTGTGATGCTGTCTGCGTGCCGTAGCGCTCATCACACTAGAAGCCCTCCAGCAGCGCGCGCCAAATTAGCAGCAGACGAGCGACGCACAGCGCCATCCGGCGGCACGCAGCCGCACTGCGTCAGTGTTCGCGTTGCATCGACAGGCGGGGCGGGCGAGAGTGAATTTTCTCGGTGTCTCGACGGACGCCGTCCCCCGCGGGAGTTCCGTGATATGGGATTGGCTGCTGGCGGCGGGCGGGGTGATGTGTGCGGTGCGTCTTTCGGCAGCGCGCGCTGTTTACGGCACATGCAAGGAAGCAGTTCTCGTCTGCCGTGTTTCCGCACCGACTTCCGCGAGATCAACTACCGTGATTTCCTTCAATCATCTACCGTGATTTCCTTCAATCATCTTACGTGATTTCTGCGACCATCTAGCGTGACTTTACGCCGCGGGCGCACGCACACGTAAACTACCACTTCGGTGCCACTTCGTTTGGAGCGTTACTTCGTCATCCGTCGCTGCAGATACATAAAACATCAGAATTAGGAGACGAAAATCGTCTGCAGTGGTACATTGCCGCATCGTCTGCGAGCTCACGCTATCGCATCATCTGCGCGTTTCGCACGGCTGTATACCAAACGATCTGCACGTCACGTGTTCGATTTCGTCTGGCATTCGATGCTCACGTGACGTCTCTGTCAACCTGGCGCTCGCGCTGCCCACGCGCGTGTTCCAACGTCCGCCGCGTTACTGCGATTCCGCCGCGCGTCTGCGGGCAGTTTGGGGACGCACGAGTGCCCCGCGAAAGAACACGAGCTCTCGCTCGTCTCTCGGCAAAGTGACAGAAGGAATAATAGCAGTGAGTGTACTGAGACAGTGAGCAGCTGTTGTCGGCCCCATCGGCGTTTATTTATTTAAGAGATGAATGCAGCTCCGCTGTGAAGCCCCGAATCTAGTGCGACGTAACACGCACGCACGCGGTGGAGACGGTGCGGCTGCTGCCGCGCGCGCAATAAAGAAGGCGCCGGATTATACGAGTCTTACGTGTAATTAGAGCCGTGTGCTAACGACCGCGACCCTACAGGGAGACACGCGCAGACAGATACACGCGCGCATCCACGCACACTACGGCAGCTGAGAGGCGGAGAACGGATGCAACGTTACGTCACTGGGCCGGCGTTAAAACTGGTCGCTTGTTGGATTCGGATGCGGACTGGAGTTTATTCAGACTCGCGCGCACGCACGCCGCATCGGTTCACAGTATATGCCTAGCACGACCTACTTTGTCATTACATGGTCGTTTCCTGGCTTCGCTTTCAATTTGTTTTACACCGCTTCTCGCGTGCGCGTATTTTTTGCGTGATGAGTTTTAGAGATGTAGCACCACGATAGCGCTCGCCTGCGGAAACCATCAGTCAGCACCGAGCACGTAGGCTGGCACTAATAAGCGGTTTGTATACGTCTGATGTGGCAAACGAACGCGTTTTTCTTGGCTATTTTTTTCTTGAATAACCCTGCAGACGATCCTCTGACGGGTGGAGAGGAGAGCGTCTTTAGAGCCCGGTGAAGCACTGAGGGGATGGATGATACTCTGGAAGAATAGCACAGACGGAAACACTCTCGGGAAAACGATCAGAAGGCTGCCTGGTGTAACCCCGAGATAGGTTCCGACAGGTTTAGGACCGTGAGCCCTTGGCGTTAGTCTGCAATCTCCACTCTTACGCGCGTGCATGTGCCAGTGTTATCTACGTGAATCTGTTGTCCTGCAGCTTTTTATATTCCTACTTATGCACCCCTGTTACCAAGAAAACCCCTCGGCGGTATTTTCAACCTTCTGCAGCCTTCCGCGAGCGTGCTAGCAAGGAGAAACCTCGTTCCATCAAACTGCATCCACGCGCCGTGCATGTAGGATGGGCGGGCTGTCGCGCGGCTACAGCGGCGTCGCCTCCTTCAGCGTCGCCGTTGGAGACTCTCCGGAGAAGCTGCTCATCGCGCGCAAGATCCCGCTGACGCAGCGCTCCAGCTACTGCATCTGCTGCTTCTCGCTGCTCAGCATCGCCGTACCGACGGTCATGCTGTGCGCCATCTTCGTCATGAATCCGTACCTGCGCACGGTCGACTTCGTGCAGACGACCTGCAGTGTGCTGAACTCGACTGCCGCTAACTTTAAGAGCTGCAACACGTGCGTGCCGTACACGTGCATACGCGTGCACGTCAACTACACGGCGATTGACGCCGATGGCGATAGAAGCGCTGCAAGGGCGGCCAAACGCGTCGCTTTTCTCTACGATGATGAGAGATTGCTATATCAGAAATACAAGGTGAGTAGTTGCAGTAGTGAAGGTGAGTAGTAGTGAGGGCTGGCGCGGCGTGGCAGATAACGAGACACATAGGTAACGCAGGAGCGATTTCCCTACTAAGTTCACATCGTTCCCTCTGATTTTTCTTACATTTTTTATTCATTTTTTCTTCCTCCTCTTCTTCTTCTTCTTTTTTTCTGCTTCTTCTTCTTTATCACCATCTTCTTTCCTACACTTTCCTTAGTATAGTCTTAGTACTTTACTTTTAAAAATTCTCTTTCAAATTGTAAACAACCGTGTAGAACTCAATTTTACCTCTCGTTAACCTTTTCCTCGGCACGAAATCCATATTCCTATATCTAAGAGATTTAATCGACAAGCTATACGATAACATTTCGACTATGTGCTATCGAAAAATAATGCTATATTAATTGGCACCCGGGAATTTATAATAGAAGCAATTACCGCGTACGCATTCAATATACATAAGCCTAAAACATTCGCGCAAGTTCCCCATGTTATATAAGCATAAAGACTGGGCAAAAAATTGTTTACGACTACAAGCGTCGCATCTTTAAAATTATCTGCCGGGTGCATTGGTTGAGCACGAATCGGCGGTGCACAGATAGACAGATTCTTGATCAGGCACGTCAACGGGAGGGGGGGGCCTGATTTTGGGGCAAAACTCTCGTTTGTGCCACATGCTCGTCGGCCGCTGCGTAGCACTCGTCCTCTTGTTTGTTTATGTGATCGAATTGTACACATATACAGTTTGTTTACATTTAGGGGAAGTTTAGCTGTTGTATATATATGTTGTATATAGATGGACGCGCATAAATTATCCGCAGCGTGTACACCGCCCACAAGTCACTGGGAACCACACAAGCATGTGGCTCGTAACAGGCATGAAGTTGACATGCTCCTTGTGAACAGACGGCTGTCCAAATATTGAAGTCCGGCGCTCTTAGGATATAGTTCATCAATGTGTCCACGTCAAATATAGCAGTGGCGTAGTCGTTTAAATGCTTTAGCGTTATGCGTTGCATTAGAGTCTGTGATACCGGTCGGCTGTTAGAATTCTAACATACACTTAAAGCAGGACGTGTTACTAACCTCGTTAGTTGGTATTGCAATTTAAACATGTCGTATTTCGTTGTGCGAAAATTGGCGGAAATATATTCACTTCGGATTTAAATCTGCGTCTACTCTATTAACTTAAATTTTACAAGACTGTATTTTATTGATGCAATGTATTCAGAGAGCAAGACATGTGCACCTTGTTGCGTTAGCAATTCACGTATTATGATAAGTATATGATTATAACGCAGCGCAAATGAAAGCCAAACACCAAGTGCTATATGCAACTTAGCCAATGTGAGAATCCTAATATTTACTAAAGAACGTAGGAGTTTCGTTAATAACCAGACCTAGTGTTAGAATTAATGTTAAGGTTTAAAACCTTAGCATTTAAAATGACAAATTTAAGGACAAGACGTTACGACACGCACACACGAACATACAAAGATGCGCGCGCATACACATGCACTTACACACATACACACACGCGCGCACAGACTCGCGCACGCGCGCACACACACACACACACACACACACACACACACACACACACACACACACACACA